TTTTTATAGCATGAAAAAGTCTAATGTACTGATTTCGCGCCAAAAAATCTGGCAACCCTAACCAAGTTCTACATCCATACATCAAAAAATAACGAAGTTACTTTATCGACTCATTTTTATGAACCAGTTTCTTTCTATCAGTGAAATTTGGCTTACTTAATTTTTTTACTGAAACCCGGTAGCGAACACTCAAAAACTGGGACAAGAGGGGCAGAATATTTTGAAAAAAAAAACCGAATAGATTTGAAGTCAAGCGGAGTAGATTTTTTTGTATCGAAACCCTTTGTAAATCGAATTTAATCGGAGTTGAGTCCGAACACTGGCAGGGAACGTTTTTTTTTCAATTTTAACGCTAATGACCCACAGATGGCGCGAAAACACAGGGTTGTATCAGACTTTCGACGTGGTTTTGAGTTGGTTTTTGTTAACCATCTCAGTGAAATGGTTAAGGCTGTAATTTTTATATGGCGAAACCACGCTAAATCAAGTGGGTTATCGGGATAACCAACTCACCGTGGTTAAGCTTCGGTGGGGACATAATATTACTAATAAAAAAACGTTTTGCTAATTAAATTGATTAAATTAACTGCGCATAGTTGGAAATATTTACAAGTGACATTGCGTGATTACTTAAAATATTTCAACATACAGCTTTATATGCAAATATACCATTAAACACAGCAACACAAATTTGGTGTTTTTTTTGGGAAAATTGCCCTTTTTTCAGTGTTTTGGTGCTTTTTTAAATAAAAAACTTGGCAATACTAATCACTAGCTGACCTTCATCGAACCAGTGTTGCCGCGAAGCATTTTTAATGGTAGCCAAATTCCTTTAAAAAAAGGGCTAAAAAAGAGCTAAAAAAGTCGTTGTGGCTAAAAATGGTAGCTAAAATTGTTTGCTTACATAATCATATATAAGTATACACGCAAACATTTTCAATAAGTAATTGTATAGAAAAACCATGAACTCTGGAAAAAAGCTAATATTTTATCCAACCTAAAACCTTTTTGTATAATATGGGAAATATACGACACCAGCTTGCTGGCTCGATCAAGTGATTGTTCTATCAGGCTCGAAGCATATAACTTACCACCAATGCTGGTACAATATGTATTTCTTTACAAATGAGGTCGTAGAAGGATCGAAATGATTAGAGCCGAAATTTCATAATTTTGTTAAACATTGTTTTTTTTTTTCAATTCACAACTGCAATATCGTGAACTTAATATTCCACACACACGGCTTTGACTCATATAGTGCAAGAAATTTCCGCAAAAAAATTTTCAAATAGTTTTTGAAGACACACCAGCAGCTGGTACAATCACAACAACATACATGGTCAATCGACTTGATGTGCCATTTAACAAATGAAGCATATTAAGAGCCAGTTTTTCAGTGCACGGCCGTGGCTTAAACTAACCTTAAATGCCCGATCTGGCTGGTGTAAACTAAGATCAGCCAATCAAATGTCAGCCAGCTGTTCAACTTAAACTCAGTTTACTTAATCTGAGTTTAAACTGGCACTGAAAAACTGGCCCTAAGGGCTGTAAACTTATCTATTTTAAACTGTAGTTAAATCGTTAATAGATAAGTTAAAAAAACAGCCCTAACACTTTTACAGTATGTATGTATAAAAACGTAAGGAACATACAATACATACATGTATATATATCAGTCTTTCTTAGTTTAAAAATTCATCTCTTAAATAATAGTATGAATAAATTCTCCAAAGGGCTTAAAAAAGGGCTAGGGGCAATTTTAAATTTATGTGGCCAAAAAAAGAATGTGGTAGCTCAATCTAGCCACCAAAGGGCTAAAACGGCAACACTGCATCGAACGCTCTTTGCCGGGTTCGGACTGAAAAATGGGAACAAAAATAAATAAAAACAATTAATTTCTCCTCGTATCACTGTATTCTAGGACTAAAGAAGGGGCTAAAGCTGCCTTTACAAGGGTCGATTTCTGTAGATTGGAAAATCGACTAGCCAAAGCATTTACATTTTACGGTTGAGATGTCATTTACACGGGTCGATTTCGGTTGAACGACAAAAATCTACTAGAAAATCGACCCGTGTAAAGGCGCCTATAACCCAGCGAGCAATTATCATTAAAGTTAAAATGCATTGGTTAAAATTAATAAAAAGTTATTTCATTCTTGCTTTACCGGGACAATTGTTACATCGGTGGGCAACGACGCAATTACAGAACTTTAGACAGAGCAATCTTTTTCGATCGGGTTCAAAACGGGTGATTGTGAGAGCCTATTCACAAATTCAAGTGTATTTGCAAAGGTGCTGTAGCTCACCACTGTAACAGTCGTGTCAATAAAAAGGTAAAATATTACTTTTAATTTGCTATTAAAAACCCCACCACCTTTGTATTTGAAGAGTAAATTTGTTGATGCAACAAAACGGAGCATTTTCAGTTGAGCGGACTAGAGGACTAGGTTTCAAATTATTTCGACCAAACGGAACAAATCTACTCCTATCGGAGGAAAGTCCGAACGATGGCTTATTGTGTATATGAGGAAAATTTACGCTCTTTGTTTGGTGCACAAAGTCATTATTGCCGCAGCCGCACAGTGTATTATTTCCATATTCTAGAAAATATTAATTACATTATTTTATGTCGCCAAATTTCAAAACAACGTCAAAAATGTTTTTAGAAATGTCTGGTAAAGACGAAACAATAACAATTATAAAATTTAAACCAAAGTGTAGGGCGGGACGGGATTCGATTTGGAAGATTACCGAGCGCAGTATTATTTAAAATTGTATATTTGAAACTGAATCTCAATGTTTAATTTGTCGGTGTTTTGTGATTTATGCAACAATTGCTAAAATACCATTTTCGTCTTATTTTTTTAGGTATGTTCTTTTTAATGAATATACATTTTTGGGATTTTAGTAAACTAGGACTGAGTATTTCATGTTAAAGTAAAACGATGTTAATTTAGATTTATTTTTAGCAATTTATTAATTTCATTAGACCCGCAAACTCGTTATCCGCCACTATTCGATAAAGTTTGTATCTCAGTTTATTTACCACTCCTCTTTGACTTAAATAACACAATTTTAGCTGCTCGAAAGTGCAGGTTTTGATGAAATTTTCATTTTTCAGGCCTACTAAGAATTTCATTTTCTTCGAGTAATTTATTTGAATTTCATCTCGGCCGAGACAAATTCTTGTATTTCCGCTTTGAATAGAGAAAGCCTAATTCACAACCTTTCCAATACTATCCCACTTTTGTAAATAGAGCAAGAAATATTGAACTTATAACGGAATTTCGTTGACCCAACTTGATTTTTTATCGATATTTTCCACGCACATAATTAAAAAAAAAAAATTATTTTTGAATCCATTTTTGCCAGTTTATAATTCATTGTTATAGGGAAATTCTAAATATCAATTTTAAGCAATTTAGCCTTTGTAGTTAGTTAAATATTTCAGTTTTTGCATTTTTATAAATTGCAGTTATATAGTAGGGTGGCGTGGCAGTAACTCTAAATGACCGATTTTTTGTAAAAAGCTTCGCCTATCTTATAACGTACCTTGTGCAAAATTTTATTAATCTATCTTCAATAGTTTTCGAATTACAAAATTAAAAGCAGCTAGATGGGTCAAATCTTACACTGTGAGCCGTACTGCCTCAGTATATGCAGTAAAAAAACTGTGGTGAAGTCCTTTATGGGAATAAATTTTCCAGAGGTGAAATTTTAAGTACCACACAATTTCTTACACGCAGGGTTGCTTTTCAGCAGTAATGAGAAACTTAAGAAATATTTAAAAAAATGCATATATGCATTAATTTTTGAAAGAAATACCATATAATGTATGTACTCTGATTAATAATATTAAAAAATTTATTGGAACCACCGTTAATGTTATAATTGATACAAATTAATTTTGCTACTCGGAACGCTCTGCGCATTGCCACTGAAGACTTAAAATTACATCCCTGGTCCTTGTTCTTTCTGTATTGCATCGTGGTGAATTCCCATATCTCAGAAATTTGACAACAAAACAAAATGAAGGGAGTATTTTATTTTCCAATTTTTGCGATTTCTATTGTTTAATGTAAATTTTATGTCTTTTTAGGATATGTTGAAGCAACAAAGAAGGCGCAGTTGGAAAATGAAGTTATTAGTATGAAGTAGCATCTCAGGCATATTTGGAAAAGTATGCCTATAAGCAAGATGGAATTTGGGAAAGTAAGTGCCTGGTTGCAGCATATCTATGTATTAAAAAAGTAATAAACTAAATTAATTTGTGTTTAATAGAAATGTTATAAATCGAGTGGCATTATTTAAGATGTGCTCCAAATATTTGGCGAACTTTTTTTCGCCTTCTCAACGTGCTAAGTGACAAGATAAGATGACTGCCACCAGGGCCGGTAAGAAGCCCGAAGCAAAGGGAAAACTACCTTCCAGGAAGTTGCATGCTGTCCGCGAGTCGAAGATAAAGTTAAGCAAGAAGCAGGTCTGCAAATGTGCTACCCTGATAAGCGCAAACTAAAGCGCTCTACTGTGATTGCACTCTGCAAGCGTGAAAATTTGGAGCATGCTGAGAAATATCAAGCAACATATCTCCTGATGGACGCCGTGAGATGAAGTTGCGCCGTCTACGTGCCCGCAGAATGGCTTTTGTGATCTTTATCTGCGGTATAAACAAAGTTGCACCAAAAGTGCGTAAAGTTTTACTGTGGTTCCATCTTCGCCACATTAACAACGGTTTGTTCATCGAATTGAACAAGGCAACCATTAATATGCTACGGATTGCCGAACCGTATATTACATGGGGCTATCCAAATCTTATAACAGTTCGTGAATTGATCTACAAACGTGGAATTGTCAAACACAACTATCAACGTGTCCCAAACTCTGACAACTATGTGATCGAACGCAAATTGCACAAAGCGCACGATATTCAGTGCGTTGATTATAATTATAATTATTTGGCGTACGAAATATTCACTGTTGGATCCCACTTCAAGAAAGCCTCGAAGTTACTGTGGCCACTACGTTGATGTTGGTGATTGCGGTAACCGTGAAGATAATATCAACAAACTGCTGCGCAAGATGGTTTAAAGAAATTTTCTGGTGTACAAGGTGGAGTATTTTTATTTCAAAAATATATAATAATAAAAATAGAAAACAATGTTGTTTTTTTTTTTGTAACTTTCTGAAGGTTTAACCCGCAAATATGCCAAATGGAAGGCAAACGGAAATTCCATTGCCGTTTGTAAAGGCCATTTCAAAAGGCTCCATTCCACAAATTTAATTTGTTTTGGTTTTTCAGCTCATTAACGATGCACCCAGGATTGCATTTACCGTCTATGAAAATATTTCATTAAGCGTTCCAAAATTAGCTCCGAGCAACTAAAAGTTGGTTAAGCTTAAGTGAAATAGTTTTTTATTAAATATTTATTCCTGGTATTTATTAAAAAAAAATCAGGTCAATATTAATGTATGAAATGAAGTAAATAAAAATCTAAGTATATATTTCTTGAATATTTTGTCATAGAGCCGTTATTAAATAAAGACATAACTGCGTCGGGCGTTGGTCCTGACGTATATAGAATTAATGCATTAGAGAGAGATAATTATACAAGCTCAAGGTGCTAATTTAGGTATACTTACATATGTATGTATTTACCTGTTACTCGCCTGGCATATACTTCAACTGCGAAAATAATGACAATTATAATTTATTTAGATGCATATTTTAGCTAAATGTTATATCGTCGCCTAGATAAAAGATCGTTGCATGTTACTTTCGGCAGGTTTCGGGAAATCACAATTGAAGTTTGGAATGTAATTTCTCAGAAACTCGACTACAGATTTTCTCTAAAGTGTCGGAGAATGCTATGTACTAGTTCACGAAATTCTTATATTATCTTATTTTTAGTTTACTGTCAACCATTTATGAGTTTAATAAAATTTTGTCGTATACGCCAAATGTGATAAATTTTTTTATAAATTAACGATACTTTTCACTAATCAGCCTAATCGTGAGTTTCGCCAAAAAAAAATTCGCCAGAAATGTTTTCACCCACCGTAGTGAATACACGGAAACGAAAAGTGAAAAGGTGGCCCGGTTCGAGAAAATGAAACTCATGATAAGGCTGAATATGTCGGAAACTAAAGCAGATATTTAAAAACAGATGATGCTATTTGAAAGATCTTGATTAGTTTAGTACAACAGCATTACTAACGTAATTTGTATCAAATGATTTTAGTCAATTACTCGGAAACTAAAGAAGATATCCAAAAAACAGTTAACAAAAAAGCGATATATCTGATTTTAAAATATATAACTGCATCTGTAACTAAAAACTGCCAAAATGACGCTTACGGAAATTTTCCATCAAAGCGACGATATTTGAATGTTACTGGCATAATTTCGGGCCTGTATGCAAATTTTCGGGAAAAAGTTAAGAAGTATGTATATTCATATGCTGAAAAGATATTTTCGCAGACTCACAATTTATTTAAAGTATATCATCAACCCTATTTCCAATTCTGTGTGAATAAATCGCTCCCATAATTTAATTAGTGCATTCAATATGTTTCACAATTAATTTAAATACTAAATTACAAATATTTGTGCAACGACCTCGACACAGTAAAATAAAAAAAAAATTGGTATGTATTAGTAAAATAAATATTCTTAATACATCTATATTTCAGTTAAACCTTAGATGTTCAAGCGCACTGCAATATTTTTCTATCCATTTTCTCAGTGCTAAAATAATTTTCACCACATAAAATTGCTGCACAACACCCTTATTCCCAAAAAAAACGTTGCTTGCAACACTAGTCCTTTATGGAGACCAAATTTGGTGGAAGAAAATAGCTAAGTTTGTTTACTGGATATACTGAGCGTACTGCGAAGAACATGATGTCGGTGGGGATATAAATAACTTTTCAACTTTTCATACCCTTCCTCCCGTAAACTGTTTTTCCCTTTATCAAGCCCGCGCTCGCACTTTCGCTACTGCGCGGGCAAAAAAGTGCTCATGTCTGCTGTACACTGTGGGTCGATCTTTTACTCAGGTACCGATATGTATGTAAATATGTACAGTGCCACACTAAATTATTAGCACATAGAATTTTTCACAATGTATGGAACATTTTTTACTTTAAATTTTCCAGGAATTTTTTATAAAAATATAGTACATCCTACAACAAAAAACATACAAAAAAATGTCTAGACTATGTGCAAAACTCAGGAAATTACATACAAGTTGTCATTGTAGTTTGAAGTTGGTAAAAAATGACGTTTTATTCAAGCAGACACGGCTTGAATTCTTTGTTTAAAATTCATTCGTCAATAAAATAGCAAACGCGTTCTTGACTCTTTCGTGTAATTCACCGGGACAAGATTACACAAATTTTTTACATTCAAAGCTCAGTTAGTCTAGACTTAATTTCCGCAACTTAACTTAATATTTGGACCAACCTGTATATGAGAAACTGTGTTGGCGGTTAGTTAAAACTTAACTTACCATAAAAAACTTAAGAACCTGTAGATTTTAGGTTCTTAAGTTACGGCCTTACGGAAATTGGGAGCGGTAAGAGAATCAGGCTTGCCAGACTCTCGGTTTTGTATTTCTTAAAAATATATGAAAGGAAAAATTTTTGTTTGCCTGCATTTTTTTGATATGGCGTTTTAACCAGCGAACTGTTAAACAGCTGAAAAAGGAAATACATAAATAAAATAAAAAACTTTTTAATATACAACGCTTCTATAAATGGACTAAAAAGTAGAAAATAATATTTCTCAGTCCCACAGAACTTGTTTTGATAACTTTTGATTTTGAAATTTTAGCAAAAGTCATTATAAACAATTTATGAGATTGAAAACGAAAAACGTGGAGCGCATGCAATACAAAGCATTCGATTTAATTGACAATATTCAATTTCTACAGCGAAAGTACAAATTTGAGATCGATTTTAAGCGGTCGTTATTAATATACCCACATACATACATATATTACTCTTCAATTTCAAATCAGGCCTATTACATGCGCCCCACGCTTTTAATTTTCAATCTCATATATTGTTTATAATGACTTTTGCTGAAATTTCAAAATCAAAAGTTATCAAAACAAGTTCTATGGGACTGAGAAATATTAATTTCTAATTTTAGTCCATTTATAAAGGCGTGGTACATTAAAACTTTTTTTAAATTTATTTTATACTTTTTAGTCTTGTCTGTATAAAATTTTGCAATAGATACTAAAATAATTCAACTTGCAGTGAAAAGAGAACAGAAGACTATGCAAGCAAAATGTTGTTTGCTCACATTTAGTATATGCCTACATATATACATACATACATATAGCAGCAATTAATTTCATTTAAAGAAATGGCGTGTCGTCCATTTCCGCTGTAGCGTATGTGCATATTTTTAACTTCTTCTGGCGAGGCGACATCTATCTCTAGAGTTTTTCTAATTGTATGTCTTTCATATGATACCTACGACGAGGTTGATATCTAGACAAGGTTTGCCATAAATACCTTTGCTATATTTATAGTATAAAATGGGGGTCTGGACATACAACATTGCAAGTAGATAAAAGCGTTCTAAAAGACATTTTTCTGTCCCAAATTTAAGCAAAAACAATAAAATATTAGGAAATGGAGTTTCTGGTGGCAAAAATTAAGAAGCATTAAACTATATTAAATATTTCTTGTAAATAAATTTATTTAATGTTTTAAAAGCTTTAATTGGTTAAAATTAAATTGATCAAAAGCTTAAATTGATGAATTGCAGTCAATGATTGTAGACGTTTTTTTTATTACTTATTTCACTTCAATTTATAGTATTTTTTTCTGCGATTGTCAAAAATTTACTGCTGTCAAAAAAGATTTCGTTTCACACAGCAGATTGGCAAAGTGTCTCACGATAGTAAAAATATCATTCACCAGCGTTCCGCACAGAACTTTGTTACCGATTCACACACACGCAGACACATGAATGAAACAGTCTGCAGGAAATCGCAGTAGAAAACAAAATACGGCGTATAGTGACGATCAGTAAATAGGATTTATAAAATATATGTACATGTTTTAAGGGCCGGTTATTCAATATCTGGTTAACACTAATCTCCGGTTAAACATAGTTATCGACGTTACCGCCTACCTGTTATATGCATGGAGTCGAAGACGTCGAAAACGATGTTTAATCGCAGATTAGTGTTAGGCAGACATTGAGTAACCGGCCCTAAGAGTTCTAAATTTTTTTCAACAAAATGTCTAGATTTTTTTCTTGCAAAAAAAACGGGACATTCTGCGTCTCGGCATTTGTCGAACCGGGACCGGGACATTGTTTTTAAATCCGGGACAGTCCCGCCGAAAACGGGACGGTTGGCAACCGTGATCAAAATTCCGCTCCGAGTTGTTCTCGCCATTACCGTCCTATAAAACTAATGTTCGCTAAAGAAACCACTGACTTGATAAAAAGTGAGGGACAGCGTCTCAATGTGAAAATAGCAAAGATTCGTCCAACAGAAGTTAATATGTATATTAGTAGATGATGTCCAATGCACTATTTATGTTAATTCAAAACTTATTTTATGTATGATTGACGGAAAGGTGTTTACAGCTCTATCCAACTGCAATTTAACCCATCAAGGAACGGACTTAAGGATAGGCTTCATAGACATGTTTAGTTCGTTTTTTACCCTAATCGAAGGGAATTCACATTATTACTATAATACGTTGTACCTACTCAACGTAATTTAATTACTAAATATGTAGCTGATTTAATTTAGTAAGCAACGGAAAATGCGTCGTATCCAGGGTTGCCACTGACGACAAAAAATATTTACCATCCACTTGAAAAAAATTTACCAAATCTGGGAAATATCTACCAATAACTTTTTTATAATTATTTTAACAAAAACCATAGTTTTGTTATTTTTTTATTTATTTTAATTAAAACTATAGTTTTTTTTTTTTTAGTTATTTCAATAAGAATTAAAATTGTTTTTAAGAACTTTTTATTTAACTAGTTATACGGTTTTGAGTCATATTATTGGCATATTCTCAGTTTCCTTCAACCAAAAGCGGAAGTGATGAAACTAAAGGCAACAATGAAACTTCATTATTTGAAAAACTTCAACTCGAGTTATTATAGACAAATACTGTGACTCAAAAAAGTGTTCTCGCAATACAGCGCAATAAGCAGGTAAATTAATAAAGCAGCTTTCTCGCTTAGTCAACATTTAAAGGAAAGTTTTCAAATAAGGTAGTGTCAAATCAATATACTGCCCATGATACAAAAAAGAAGGTAGTTTCAATAAACAACTTTTGACGGATAATAAAATTTTTTGAAGTTTCATA